TGTTTAATTAAGGTAATAATATAGTAATTAATTCGATTCCTAAATTTTTTTAATCAGGGTATTTTTACCGACTATAAGAAAATATGTGACGTTAATGTGTTTTCCATACGCAGGGCCGGACCTGAGCACATGCCAAGGAAACATGGACCTTGGGCCCTCAAAATTTTCTAATTTTTTAATATTAAAAATAAGCCTCCAATTTTTTTTTTTTGCGAAAAGACTCTCAAATTAAAAATCTATCTATAAACTCTCTAAAAATTTTTTTGGCTTAGGGTTCCCTAAATTTCAGGACCGACCCTGTCCATACGTTTAGACGAAGTTATATCTCTCATTTTGAAAAACTTTGTAGAAATAGATATTGTTGTTGCTACACAAGCAATTTATTTCGTGAATTTACGTGCTTAGTAACTATCTTAAAGTTTATGTATCTAGATAGAAGATCCAACAAATTTATGGTGTTCTCGTAGTTATAAGAAAATTAAAACTAGGGTTCAAATTTTCCATTTGATTTTAATCGTGATCCGTCAACGTAAATGTTTTAAATGGCAAAAAATATATGTTTTCACATATTTCAAAGTTAAGTTTCCGATTTGGTTCATAATTTCTCGATTATATATGTGTGTGTGTACGTACACACGGTCTGATAAAAAAAAAAGTGTTTATACAATTATATTCATGGATGATTAAAAAAAAAATCTTATGAAAAAATGAGCAACACTTTTGGATGGGTCATTAAGGGTTCGTAGTTAACCCCATGCTTCTTTTGAGTTTGTGCCTTTGGTAGTGGAAAGAGGAATCTACTGATTTTAGAGGGTGGAGATGTTCCTGCGACCCACAAATCTGGAAGACGTAGGACCAAATTTTACCTCACCCCACCATTTTTCAGACTTTTCATTTGGGTCCCATAATTTTACATTTCGTTGGTTCTAACCTTTCTTCATTCATTGTTTGACAAGGCTACATAACCTTTTTGCTCCCTATGGATTTGTTTTAATGTATCATACCATAGAATTCAACTTTTATATTAGTCAAACTCCATCAAATTCATCAACTTATTTTCAACGCTT